ACTGAACGCGGGTTCTGATGAGAACAGTGTAAGCGTTCAAGCAAACCACTTCTGAAGATGCAAGCCACTCGTGCTTGCGAAACGTCAGGAAGAAAATCTACCGAACGACGGTCTAAAAACCCGAAAGAACCCATTAGTTTCATCTTCTGGATTGTTCTCTATCAATCAAGCAAATTCTCCTGGGACGACTGGGAATCAAAAGAATGCGAAAACTGCAGGAAAGCGATCGAAAATCGACCAAAAAGCGCTTGCTATAGAGATTCTGCGGCAGCGGAAAGGCTCTAGCGAAAAGAATTGTAGAAGAAAAAGCCTGAAACAGCAATTTTTTAAAAGTTCCTTTAACATCAACAACTGCCGAACGTTCAACAAAATCTCGCTGAAAATGCTTCAAAAAGAAGCCATCGAAAATCTGAAAACCAGGGCAAAAGCACTGAAGATCATGTCGCTTTAACATTTTCTTGTAAATGGGTAAAAATTAATCGAATTTTGGGTTTAACTGTCGTGGTAAAAGACTTGGAACAGGGTTCGAATCGACTGATTGACCGTCAAAATCATGCTTAAAGCAACGAAAATATGGACAAAATGGGAAATTCTATGAACATTGTGTTTTTTCTCAGGGCGTTAACAGCGTAAAAATGACTTTAAGGGTTTCAAAGGTTGGTTGTGTATCCAGATGCTGAAAAATAGTAAAGAAAACATCGACAGAACATTTGAAGTTCTTGAAATTGTTTGAAGAAAATCCGTTCCAAAATCCCGTAAATTTTATACGTAAACTCTCAAGCTGAAAATGGACTTGAAAGTACTAAAAACCCAATAAACTCTTTCGGGGGCTTCAAAATGCCCCAAAACAGCAAAAAATCCCTTCAAGTCCACTGTACATGTTTGGGAAAACCACTCAAAAACAAACTAAGAAATGTACAAAAATTTCCGAAATGAGCAAGAAAACTTTTGAAGGTCTCCTGCTGATAAACGGTCTAAAATTTGGGTTACACACGCAAAAAAATTCCGAAAAATCCTCAAAACAATGGTGAAAGCGATGAAACCAATGTTGGAGCCACATGGTGGAATTCACTATTTTACCAAAGAAAAAAAGTTGAAACTAATGGGTTTTTCGGGTTTTTAGGCCGTCGTTTTAGGACGTTTTGCCAGCACGAGTGGCTTGCATCTTCAGAAGTGGTTTGCTTGATTCAAAATTCTGAATTTTAAATCTGATGATGGGGCCGTTGCCCCCCGAAACGTAATATGAAACAAACGATATCAACATTTCGACTGAAACCCAGGAGAGAAGAAAAAATTCAATTTCTCGACTAATATAAGGGACCTTGGCCTACAAAATGCATCCAAACTTAACTTTCCCACAAGTTGAAAACCTGACAGGGTTTGAACAGTTCTTAAACATCGCCTGACGATGGAGATAAACCATGCTGCGAACCGAAACGTTGCGATAAGACAAAGGAAGACCGAATAAACCGTTTTTGGCGTGTGGATGAAACATTGTGGCCAGCAAACGCACACTTGGTACGGAACTAGTTGAACTCATTGGTTGGCAGTTTGTATGCAATTTTCCGTGCAATTTATTATGGTCAAGGCTGGCGTTGGCTGCAATCGAACCGAACAATAACTTTATTATCAAGGCGGCAAGGAAATCTGCTTCCGGTTGAAACCAGAGGCAAAAATCGGTGCCAACAACCGTCCGAGGCGATCCGTACCGCCAGTCGACAAGCCAAACGAAGACCAAAAAACACCCGTGACTAAGTATGGATGGCGCGGAGGCCACTGCAGAAGAGGCTGGCTGCCAGTGGTGTGTTTCAGCCTTTCAGCGCTCGGATGGAACTGTCGCATCTGAAGATAAGCCAAAGCGAGTTAACTCGATAGGCAAGTGCGTGTAATTGCCGCAAAACACTACCCATAATTTGTTTAAATCTAATTGTGGTTTTGAACAATGCCGGGGTTTTTATCCCGCTTCCAACACTTCCGTTTTACATTTCACACCTTCGAGCACACGACAGCATAGAAGTTACATAAAACAGGCCCCCAGTGCGGATTACGTGAAATCGACCCGATGGATTGATAATTATGGCTGTTTTATCGGGGGAAAAATTCGCATTTTAATCAGCCAATCAACTGCATTACATGCTAAAATAAGGTAATTATTCAGTGGCCTTTGTACGCTTAGGAAAACTGTGAAAGGTGATCAAGGGCGGATCCATGGGGAGGGGGTCATGGCGGTCATTCACTCCCTCATTCAATTCTCTATCCAACGATGCCAACACGAATTATCTGGCTCGAATGGTTCTTGAGAAACTTCGAAAAAAGCAGCGTCATGGTCAAGGGGATTTTGCAACTCAAAAAAAAACCACGCAAATCTAAAAGTTTTTGAATTCAAGCATTTTTTGAGAAAACTGCCAAGATTTGCTTATCGATGGTTCACTTGCTAAAAAGGCCATTTATTTCTCTCTAGAATGACGTACAAATGAGCGTTCTTGCTCATTTTGCCTCCGAGAAATGAG